GTGTGGTTTTTTTTTTTTGCGTCCAGTTCAATGGAAGAAGCTTATTGTATTCCAAAGTTTGTTTGTTCGTTCGTTTTGTTTTTCGAACGAAAAGGACCTTCGAGGAAATTTATGAGCGTGTGTGTGTTGTTTTTTTTTTGACGCGTTTCTGTTTATTTGCGTGAGCTTCTTCTTCAGCTCCAGGCTTCCTCCTTGTTGAGTCTCTAGTGGGTTCTTTATCCCACACTCCGTCCGTACACTGACGGACAGGCAGACATACACACGTGCACACACACACACACACACACACACACACACACACAGAGAGAGAGAGAGAGAGAGAGAAGGAGACAGAGGGGCAGACACCGACGGATGCACACATGATCTCCCTAGTGGGCTTGAGGGATGGGAAAAACGAAATTAATATAATATAATATATATATATATATATATATACGAAAAAGAGAAATAATGGAAAAAAGTAAAAACGGAAATTATATATATATTAAGGAAGAAAGGGGTATGGGGGGGCAAAGAACGGCGGAAACAGTAAAGTTGGTCTTGGTGTTTGTGTGTTCACTTCATGCGGTTTTTCGCCTACGCATGCGTGACTGACGGGGGAAGTCTTTATTGTTTTTAGTTTGCTGCTTGTGGGCACTCCAGCCCTTTTTTGTTGTTGTTTTCTTTTTTGATTGTTTTGTTGTTGTTTTGTTTTTTCCCATTGTCGAATTCCGTTGTCGTGTGCCTTTCTTTTCTCATGTTCCCGTGCGCCTCTTCCCGCGGGTATGGGCCGCCCGGTGGCAGTTGCACTGGGGGAGGGGGGGGGGCTTCAGCGCGTGGTCTGCGAGTAACGGGGAACGATGAAGTGGCATGACAGGTATGGACTGGCACGTGGCGATAGACGCGTGTTGAGTCCTGCAGCTACATTGCACAGGAACCTTTTGCTGATTGTTTGTTTACCCTTGTTGGCGTTGGCCGGTGTGCCTACCGCTTTTGATGCGCACCGTCGTGGCTCTCCTCCGGTAGTGTTGTGTGGGTGGGTGGGTGAGGTGGGTCTGCTGGGTGTGCTGCTTGTGGAGCAACGACCACGTGGCTTTGCTTGCGCCCCCGTCTGCAGGAGGTTACGCACACATGTATGGGCGAGTCTACTGCTGGTATGCGTGCCTAGTTTTCCGTGGGCAATGCGGTCTTTTTTTTTTTCATTTGCCTGCGAGAAGACGCGAGGGGAGGGATCTGCGCCGCCGTGCGTGGTGGAGGTGTCCCTACCACTGGGGCGTTTTACGTCATACATGCGCACGCATGCACGCATACACTCTTCGAGTAAGGGGCAGGAGAGAAGCCGGAGGGATAAGCCATTTTTATATACTTTATTTTTTTCTTTTTTTTTTTTTTTTTTTTTTACACATGTATACCCACAGTTATACACATATACACGGCATGTATATGTGTATGTACGCACACGCATGCAGGAAAAGAAGGGGGGGAAAGAAATAGGAGCTGTAAGACATTTGTTACTTTGCTGAATGCTTTCTTCCTTATTATTATTATTGTTATTATTATTATTATTATTGTTTATTTATTATTACATGTGTGTACCTTTGTGGCTGTCTTTATACCCATGGCTTTCTGTGCGTCTGCTCGTCGTCTGCGTTGGCGTTAGGTCGTCTTTTTTTTTTTTTTTTATTCCTCCTTTTTTTTTTTGCGTGTACGTGTGCGTGGCAAGGCAACCAGGGCATCATTGCATGCACAGGACACACAATAAATAAACATAGGGAAATACAAGAACACAGGAGTCACTACACTACTTAGACCTCCAAAGTTATTCTTCACTCTTCTCGTCATACATCTGGGAAGCCGCAGTAACGTATTCCATGCATCTGAGTGAGAAAACCATCGATCAACTTCCACCGCATGTGGAGTCGTTGGGATTCGATCGCAGCAGCATCCGGCCGGGTATTCTGCACTTTGGGGTGGGGCAATTCTGTCGCGGCCATCTCATGCTGTACGTGCGTGACATCCTTCGCCTTTCTGCGGCGGAGGGGGGTCGCTACAATAACTGGGGAGTTGTGGGCGTGAACGTTGTGCGCGAGGAGGAGGGCAAGCGAAAGCAGGACAGTTTCAGGCGGCAGAGCTGTCTCTACACCCTCACCCTCACCTCCTCGCAGGGAAAGTCGGAGCACTGCCTGATGGGGTCCATGCTCGACTACATCTACGCCCCAGAGGAGCAGAGAAGGCTGCTGAAGATGCTCGTGGACCCCTGCATTGCCATTCTCTCACTTACCATCACGGAGGGCGGCTACAACATTGACGAGAAACGGGATGTGTTTGACTGCAGCGACGCGAACGTGCAGAAGGACCTGCACAATCCACATGCTCCTATCACCACATTTGGGTACATTGTGGAGGGCCTCCGCCGGCGCCGGGAAAAAGGGGTGAGACCCTTCACTGTCATGTCCTGTGACAACCTTCGTCACAACGGGGACGTGGCAAAGAAGGCGGTGCTTGGATATGCCCGCGCCGTCGATGCGGATCTTGCAGCATGGATTGAGGCCAATGTCATGTTTCCCAACAGTATGGTTGATCGCATAACTCCTGCCACGACGCCGCAGGTTCGTGATCACCTCAACGCAAGAACCGGCATCTGCGATGCGGAGCCAGTGCTGGCTGAGGATTTCTGCCAGTGGGTGATTGAAGACAAGTTTTGTAACGGGGTTCGACCGCCGTGGGATCGCGTGGGCGCTACGTTTTCCAACGATGTGGCCGGCTACGAGCAGGTAAAGGTGCGCATCCTGAACTCCTCGCATATTATGCTAACCTGGCCTGGTCTGCTCCTCGGACTGCACTACGTGCACGAGGCACTTGGGAACAAGGAGATCTACAGGCTGGTAGAAGAGTCACTCGACAAGGACATCCTTCCGACGTTGCGAGCTCCGGAAGGGTTGAATCTTGTCGCCTACAAAGAGAAGGTGCTTTCGCGCTTTATGAACATCGCCCTTGGTGACCAGCTGCTGCGTGTGGCGGGCGATGGCTGCTCAAAGGTGCAGGTGTTTTGGACCAACAACCTTACAGCCATTCTGCAAGAAGGGCGGGATCACGCCCGTTTTGCCTTCGGCCTTGCCGCGTTCCTCGAGGCGTTGAGAGGCAGGAGCGAGAATGGCAAGACCTTCCCGGTGTTTGAGCCAAAGATGCCGAAGGACTACAAGATGCTTGTGATGGACAGGGATCTCGCCGCCCCGCTGAAGCTCCCCGCATTTGACGCCTGGCGCATGCTGGACCACGCGCAACTTGATCGCGACGTCGTCATGTACCGTCGCCTCATTCAAGAACGGGGCGTGCTCGGGGCACTGCCGTGGAAGGTGAGGGAATCCGCGCAGGGGCCAGCATCCCGCCTGTGAAGGCACGCAAAAAAAAAAAAGGGAGGGGAGGGGAGGGGAAACGGGGAAGTAGAGAAAATGCGCATTTATGCTTGTGCACACGCCCGTACGGAGCGAGGGAGAGCGAGATGCGTGTAATTTGATGAGGCGGTAAAGAAGGAAAATAAAAATAGAAAAAATGCGAAGGTGCCGGCAATGCGTGGTGGCGGGTCACTGAAAGAACACCACGAAGGCAATGATGCAACGTAAATAAAATGGAGCGACAACCGTGACACTCCCTGACCGTTATTCTTTTTACAACTATACTGCCCTCATTCTTAGTGCATACCTGCACTGCAGCGGGTGATAGGGTGTTTTTTTTTGTTTGTTTGTTTGTTTGCTTGCTTTTCAATGTCTTGGTTATCATCTTGTATTTTACCTTCCGTGTCCCCCTCACAGCCTCGTCTGCCTGTCACACGCACTTCTTGCGCCTCACTTCTTGTTTTGCCGCTGCCGGTGTCAGTGAACATAATTGTTTAGTTTTGCTGCCTCGTTGTTGCTGTCGTGCAGGCCACCAGCCGACAATACCAAAAGCAAGAAGACACAAAGAGAAGAAGGCAAAGGAAAGAAAAAGAGAAGGAAAATAATATATATAATAAAAAACAGGGAAGGGCATAGACGAGCGTGCATAGCTGACGGGGCATACGGCGTCAAAGAACTGAAACAACACTGTAGCAGGTAGCAGTCAGACACGCCGCAAAGGAGCACCACCCACACATATATATCTACGTGTGCCTGTACAACTTCTCAGGAGGAGCAAGGCGAGAAGAAGTGGCGGACTGGAGCGAAGGAGCTGGGGGGGGGGAAGGGAAAGTGTTTGTTGTCATATTGGGCGAAGAGAGTAACAAGGATAAGGAAGGAACGTATAGAATTCTCGTGCTAGGCAGGAAGGAGAAGAGAGCATTGCTATAATCGGGAGGGGAATCTGCACTACTAGGCGACCAGGAATGACGGTGACGGTGAATTTGTTTAACCACGCGAAGGCCAGCAACATGGAGGGTCGGGTGTGGTCAGTGGATGCTGCGACGTTTAATGAGGTGCCCGAGGCCCAGCGCGTGCTTGCGGACTCACAGTTTTACCTCGCCTACACCATGAAGCGACGACATGTGCTGCGGGTGGTGAAGCGGTCCAACCTGCTGAAGGGCAGTGTGCGGGCGCATTCAAAACCCATCCACTCGGTGAGGTTTGTGAATTACCGCAGTAATGTGGCAGCATCTGCCGGCGAGGGGGAATTCTTTGTGTGGGTTGTGACTGACGAAACGGAGGTGAGCAGCGGTGATACCAACCCTGCGGCCCGCCTAACGGTGAAGGTCTACTTTAAGCTTCGGAACCCTGTGACTGTCCCATGCTTCTCTTTCTTCATCAATGCGGAGAGTCAGCGGCCTGATCTGCTCGTCCTTTACGAGACGCAGGCCGCCATTCTTGACAGCTCCTCCCTCATTGAGCGTTTTCATGGGGATTCGTTGGAGGCAACACTGCAGCAGAATTGTACCACCCTGCGAACCCTGAGCCGTCCTGTTAGTGAGAACAGTCTGTGTTCCGTAGGCTCTGGTGGGTGGTTCACCTTCACGACGGAGCCAACCATGGTGGTAGCATGCACGCTACGAAACCGCAGTACTCCGTCATGGTCGTGCTGCGAGGGCGAGAAGGTCACGGCGTTGCATCTCCTTGACACTACCGTTGATGAAAATGCCGCCCTGCTTGTGGCCGCCTCCACAAAGGCGGTGTATCAATGGCTTCTTACAGGCATGGCAGAACCAACCTTGTTGCGGAAGTTTGTCGTGGATGGCTCAATTGTTGCGGTGGAGAGTTCACGAGAGACCTTTGCGGTGTTTAACGACAGAGAGCAGCTAGCCCTAGTGAGCATGCAGTCGCCGAATAACTTCATCTGCACACACTACATGATACCGTGTCAGGTGCAACGGAACGGTTTTTGCTTTAATCGCACCGCCGACGGCTGCTGCGTTTTGGCTGACATGTCAAATCGTTTAACGATCTTTCATCTCAAATCCTCCCCTAGGGAAGAGCAGCAGCAAGGTCAAAAGCCGCCGGCAGTTGGGACGGGGAAACAAGAAGGTGCGTCTTTGACGCCCGACACCAGCAACACGACCACTGTGACAGATGCCGCTGCGGCGTCTCCCACCCCGGTAGCAGCGACAGCACCTTTTTCGTCGGCACGAGCTCCGGAGCCGCGGGCGGCGAAGAAGATTATTGCTAATCTAGTGAGTCAGCTGGGGCTTAACGTCTCCAAAACGAGTGTCGTCACCGCTGGATCACCGGCCACGCTGCAGTCCACTTCACTTCAACCCGTGACGAGTGCCCCGCAGCGGACCAGCTCATACGGGCACAGTAGTCGTCCTGTAACGGCCGGGTTGGTGGCAGCGAATAATGACACCAACGGGGCTCAGCCGCCACTCGTAGCTGCGGCTGATGGGGAAGGCGAAGGAGCAACCACGGCTCGCGTCACGAGCCCTGCGACGGCGCATGGGACACGCCCTGCGCTTCACAACTCTTCTCTTCCGCAGGCGCCAACGGATGGCGTGTTGGCGGCGGCCGTGTATCAGTCGGAGGAGGACGTTTCCCAGGCGGTGGCGCAGCTGAATTCTGTTATCACCAACACTTTGCAGGTGCTGAAGCTGCTTCCCGACACGGTTCGACGGGACCACGAGCAACTTCTAAACCTTGGCTTAGAAGCACAGATGACGGAGCTTCAGCGGAGTTGTTCCACGCCGCCAACGCAGTCGCCATCGCACCCGGCAGATGCCAAGAAACCATCTGTGTTTGAGACATATACCCTTGTGCTGATTGCGGATTCGCTCTCTCGCAACATTACGAAGGGAGTGAAGCGTGGTGTAGACCAGGCAATGACGCTGCATCTCGACCATGAGGTGCGAAACGCGATAGGAAACCGCATGCGGCAAACACAAAAGAATATCATTAAGAGCCGCGTCGACGATGCATTGCGGGAAAGCGCCACGCAGTTTGTGGCGCACGTGACGCAAACAGTGGAGAATGTCGTAAAGCGCGAGCTTGCCGAGGTGTTTGGCAGCATCAACGGCTCGCTCACCACCCTCGTGAAGGAAAATGCCTCTTTGCAGAACGAGTTGAATGCCATCATGTCTAGTGGTGTGGTGGATGAAATGCGCCGCATGCAGAAGGAGCTGTGCGAATTGCGAGAGACGGTTGATAAGCAAACGAGAGAACTGGAAAATTCCTGTCTCCGCGCCACAAACACCTATCAGGGACCTCCACAATCACCCGAGATAATTCTTGCAACAACGCAGTCACTGATGCAAGAGAGACAGTACCTCCAAGGGCTGGAATACCTGCTGGGAGCTCAGCAGCCCTCGCTGCTCTTGCAGTTTTTCACCACGCTTACAAAGGAGAGCGAAAACACGTACTTGGAGCTCATTGAAACCACAGCGATGCCTAATGATGTGTGGTGTATGGTTCTGATGCAGCTTGTAGAGGCTGCAGAGACGGAGGTTGAGAAGGAGGTGGTCGTTAGCATCGCCAGTGATATTATTGCCGAGCGTGACCAACTCCTTCAGGATGGTGCGCACGGTGCCAAACTCACCAGCGCCCTGCGGACCTTTGAAGAGCAGGCAAAGTCGGAGACTACGAATAGGTCGTTCCTGAAGTGCCTGAAGGGCCTGAAGAAGCAGCTGCAGGTAAAATAATTGTAAAAGGAAAATGAAACAAACAAAAAAAAAAAAAGCAAAAACCTCTGCAACGAATGCGGTTCTTAACTACAAGGCGAAGAAGGAAAAGAAAAGGGATGAGCAAGAGGAAGAAAGAAATGTAATGGGCGTTGACATTTGTTAGAGGGGAGGAGCAAAAAGAAAGGACCAAGTGTGAGTCTGCGAGAGAAAGCCTCTGTAGCGCAACGGCAACTCGTTTTTTTGGCGTTCACACACACAGAGAGATGTTTGTTTTCTTTTTTCTGGCTTCTTTCGTGTCTCTGTCACGTCAGGCATTCACAATCGGCCTCAGGCTGCACCCACACCGGTACAGTTCCACTGTATTGGAGTATGACGTGACGGTGGAGACGTCTGCGTGTGTGTGTGTGTGTGTGTGTTTGTGTGTGTTTGGTGTCTGTTTGCATTCGCCCAACTTCATCGCCTTACGAAGATGCGCGTTGCCATTGTAGATGCAAGTGGAGTAAAGAGAGGAAGAATGAGAAGATGGAAGAGGACGCAAGGAGGAAAGTAACGGATATCTAAGTATGTATAAGGAACGAAGGAAGGCCAGAGAGATAGGAGAAATTGAATGGAATGAAATGAAATGAAAAAGGAGGGATGGTGGGCACTTGAGGTTTGTGTGCAGAGATGGTGGCTGCTGCAAATGGCTTCTCGTGGCGTTGCTTTTTTTACTTCCTGCCTGTTCTTCTCTCTCTCTCTCTCTCTTTCTCTTTCTGGTCTCGTTGCTGCAACAACGGTGGTGCTCTAAAGAGGGTGCGTGGGTCCCATAGGAAGAGGACGCAGCAGGGACGGCAGGTGGACTGGTAGCAGGCAGAAGGGTTAGGGGCAGGACGAAGGCAGCAACGCAACAAAAAAAAAAAGGGAGGAGTGTGTGTTGGGGGGTGGGGGGTGCTGAGCGGAGCCACAGTAGCATTACAAGAACGGACAAAAGCTGTGTGCGTGTGCGCGTGACACGTTCCTCGCTGTTTGCGTTGCTTCTGTCGCCATCAGTGATATCGCGCCGCTTCTTTTCTACGTTGCCTTTTCCTGATATTATTATCATTGCGCCTAAACACACACACGTAACTCTTCCTGACTCCGTTAGGGTGTTCTCTGGATTGGCGTGGTCGACTGGGAAGAGGAGGGTTGGAACCACACCTCTTTTTTTTTTCTTTTTAGGGGGAGGGGGACTTGCTTTCTTGTTTCGTTAGATGCAGCAGCGGGCCTTGCACCAGTGCACGCAGCTGCTGTTACTACTGCAAGGGGTACAGCACATCGCCGCTGCAGGCCCCACTGCGGTACGGTGCTACAATGATAGAGGCGGGCTGCCGGTGGTGCGGAGGCCCCGGTGGTGTGCGTCACTCGTGCGGGAGGACGGCGTGCTGTGGGAGTGTCGTCGCTTTGCGTCGGTGATTACCCGGAGGCGGAGCCGACCGAAGTCCTCATGTACCCCTCCAGCTGCAGCCGAGGCCGCGGCCACACGGCAGCCAAAGCAACACGAAGAAAAGAAGCAGCACCCACTCGTGCCGTCGTCGCCGGTACGCCCGATGATGGTACGGAGGCCACCGCCGGCGACGGCCAGCGAAGGGGTTACCGATGCGTCAGCTTCATTGCAAATGAAGACCGGCTCCACTGTCACCGCGACGAATGTGGCTGCGACGCCGCAGAAGGGGGCGCCAGATGCAACAGCCTTTGGTCTGAACCGAAGGAGTTCTTCGCATACTGTTTCGGCATCTTCTGCACCCGCAAAGGGCGGGGTTAGCAATGCCGCTGCTGCGGAAATTGGTTTTCTCCTTGATATTGAGTCCCCTCTGAATCTTCGCCTTGCGACGCTCATGCAGCAGCCGGGAAAGGCGTTCCGGGCCTTCGCGGTGACGTTTTCCACGAAGCGAGACATCAACTTCGCCATTGTGTTTGAAGACATTGTCTCAGGGGCCAAGCTGCAGTGTCGGATGGATGAAGTACGGACGGTTTATATGCCGTGGGTGCGTCAATTTCGCGCCTCGTGGGTGGTGCTATTCGTGCCAACGCTATCGACAGCCAACACGGTGCTGTTGGAAAATGCCGTGCTGTACAACGCCACGGGTCGCGCGGATGCCTCGGAGGCGGGCGGGGAAAAGGAGTTTGAGGAGCCGGATCACGTCTTAATGTCCTACAGCAAACTCAGAGAGACTTTGTGCAAGACAAAGCGAGACGAACACGTAAAGATGGAGTTGCTCACTAACACCATTCTTAACGCGCACGCGGAACAATGGCGGAGCTTTATCCATTCCCCGGGTTCCTGCTCGCCCATGGAGATTGTGACAGCTGCCTTTGAGTTCCGGGCCCAGCCTGGTCAGCCACCACTTAACAAACAACTCCTTCACGCGCAGTTGTCAGCGGCAGCCACGGCGTTGCAGCAGCCTGCCAAGCGTGGGGTTTTGTCCTCCTCGTCAGCAGCGTCACGTGGGTCGAGTAACAGTACTTCGCGGAAGAAGGAGTCTTGGATGCTTCTCTTTGTGTCCGCACCGCTGGTGAGTGCATCCGGGGCAGGAGGCGTGGTGCCGCCCATGCAGGACCTCGTGACAGGTGAGTTTGTGGAGCCGCTACTTTTAGGGGAGAAGAGTATCATTTACATTATTGGCTCCGGCACTGCAGCGGAGTCGTTTGCGCAATTTCCACTTATGCGAAAGGGCAAACAAAAGATTTCAATTCTTCTGCAGGACATAGAGAATCAACTTGGGTTGCGACGGCCAAACCGGCCGACGCTTACAACGACACTGATTCAGGCGCTGGATCTCTTCTCGCGGTATACCTGGATGGGACTGATGCGGACGGAGGACGGGTCACTTCGGACGCCGCGGGCGACACGGAGCTTCACACCACTGCACCGACGCTCCGTTACCTGTGAAATTGTGCCCACTTTTTTGGAGTCTGCACTCGGGCATGTCTCACGCAACTTAGTGGCTGGCGGCGGCACCCTGGGCGTTGCCGCGGGGGGAACAGGCGGTGGGGCTGTGGCGCATGACAAGGTGAACCGGCGCCTGGAGGAGCATATCAAGACCATCTTTAACAGCAATGAGCGACTGGCGCTAGAGAAGGAGTGGCGCGCGAAGCTGCGCGGCTTTAGATGTTTCTTTATGGAGGTGAGGTCTGCGAATGTGACGGCGGCTCGCCGTGCTGACAATCCCTTCTCTGCTCGAAATGGGATTGTGGAGTTTTACGGGCAGCTGTGGCGCTCGCTTGACGAGGAAGCGGCAAACCCACCGCCGGTGGAGACGCTCGCGGCGCGGCTGGCAGCCAACGGTGATGTGAAGGCGTTTGTGGAGCCCGAGCGTTGTGTGCCCGCTGACCTTCCAACCGGCCGCTGGCAGGATGGAAGGGATGAGCCACTCGCCGCCAACGTCATCCTTGTGGCGTGGGACGTGAAGCGGGCGCTGCTGTTTCTGCGTGGGAGCGGGAGGCTGCAGCGTTTCCTGCACAACGGGGGTCGAATCTGGTGTGCCCAGTACGCTCAGTACCTGTTGAAGGGGTTTAACCACGACAATCTGGCCACTATGGACCGAACCCTGCTGCACTACCACATTGGACAAGGCAAGCTGCACCCGCTGGAGAAGCTCCGAATTATTTTTGAGCGACAACTTGACATTGCAGTGGGCACACGCCAGTTGATCTCCATTTTGCACCGCATGGATGGCCTCTTGGCCGCCACGGAGATGGAGCTTCGTGGTTTACAGATCTCCCCACAACACGACGTGACGCAGTTTTCACAGCATTTAAAAATGTCGCATGAAAAGCTGGAGCGGCTTGTGAATGATAAAATTTTGGCATTTACCAAGGGCATGGAGGAGGAGGTGCGAAAACGGATAAACTTTCGCTCCCCGCAGGACATTAGCACAATCATCTACGGTGGGGCGCTTTGTCGTTATCTGGGGGCTAGGTATGTGCCGGTGCAGACAGCGCGAATTCCTGTGACAGCACTTTTTCCACACGCCGTTTGCCGTGTGACAGCAACACCAATTCCAGTGGCGTATACGCAGCCTGAAAGCCTGTTAGCGTTCAAGGGGTCCAGCACTAACAGCGAGAAGCATAGAGGCAAGGTAAGTGTCACGGAGAGTATGGTGCGAACAGCATTGGAGACTATCGACAAGTACACTACACGTAACACATTGAAAATTTATTGCACTGCACTGCCGTGGTGGTGGTCACGTGTAAAGTGCGTCCTGGCAACTTTCTTGAGCTGGTGTGTTTGCATTGCCCAAGCACAAATCCCAGCGATGAGTTGAAGCACAGCGTTGCCATAGATGACGTTGTGCCGGTCACGGATGAACCTGAGATGCTTACCGTGATGCAGCTAAAGGAAAAGATTGCCCACTACAAGCCACTGCGAGCACTCCAGCCTCTTAAAAAATACGGCAAGAAGAGCTACGACCTTCGTAATCTGCTTATCCTCACAAACTGCGTCCACGACAAACTTGCCGCTCTGGTCGACACAGGCATCGTGCAGACCATTGCGGAAACGGTGTTGGGTCCACACTCTGTGGAGGAGTCTCCTCTTGAGCGGGTATGCTTTTGTGATTTGCAGCGGGCACTGCCACCGCCACCGCAGGGTGCGGATAGCTTCGAGAGCGATTTTTTGGGACTCGTAGATGTCGCGGAGCATGCGGGCGTGTCTGCGCGAGGAAACTGGGAGGCCCTCACACGGGAGTTTGTCTCCGTGGGTGGATTTGAGGGTGCACTCAAGGCACTGGTGTCCCAGTGTGCGGCGCTGGTCGGCACCACACGGGACCCGTTCCGCACCTCGTACCCGCTTCCCTTGGCACTGGCAGCCGAATTTCATGGATTGCACGGCCAAGAGCGGGCCTCAACACGTGGGCTGTTGTGGATTGTGACCCCAGAAAAACTTCACCCGCTGCTGCATCGCTCCCTGCGCGGCCGCAACGCGTCCTCGGGGGCTGACGCCATTGAACGCATAACGGTCCTTTTATCCTCTGACAAGCAGATTGACCTCTCCTTCTTCAAGGCCCTGCAGCAGCTGCGTTTTACAGAGAAGAAGATGCAGCTCTTTGAGGAGGGGGCCCTGTTCCGCGCGGTGCTTCCAGAGTGTAAGGATCGCGTACATGGTGAGTTGTGTCACACCGTCACAGCCACCGGCAGGCTGTCGTCACAGTCGCCAAACCTGCAAAACATTCCGAAGGAAGAGGACCTGCGACGCCTCATCGTTTCCCGCTTCGGTAGACGTGATGGACGCATGATTGAGGCGGATTACAGCCAGCTGGAGGTGGTTGTGCTGGCGGTGCTTAGCCGTGACGCCCGCATGCTGCAGGAACTGCAGGATAATGTGGACTTTCATTGCCTCCGTGTTTCGCTTATGACCAAGGAGCCGTATGAGGATGTGGTGCGAAAAACAAAGCGGGAGAAGGATCCACATTACATTCAGCTGCGGCAGCAGGCAAAAACATTCTCATTCCAACGACAGTACGGTGCGGGTATCGCCACCATTGCCACCACTACAGGGTTGACAGAGCATGAGGTGGAGCGGCTCATATCGGCAGAGGAGCAACACTACAAGGATTTGGGTCGCTACTACCGTCTGGTGATGGACTCTGTGGAGGCAGGAGCGGATCGACTGCTTCGCCTGCGTACATTGGATGCGGCCACGTGGTCTCCTGCCATGCGGCGCATGATTATGCTAACAGAGCCCTTGCATTACTTTGTGGTGCCCACAGGCAGTAAGTTTGACTTTGCAAAGGACAAGAAGAGTATTCCACGACTGAAGAATTACCCCGTACAGGGACTGGCAGGAGAGATTGTGCAAATTATGTGTGGTAGGATTGTGCGTCGTTTCTACGAGAGGGGCAACTATGGCGGAAAGGCATTTTTGGTGAACACCGTCCATGACTGTGTGTGGATTGACGCCCACTCCTCCGTCGCAACGGAGGTAATGCACGATGTCTCGGACATTATGTCGTCCACCTCAAAGGTGATGAGCAGCCTGTGGCCTGATATGAAGCTGGAAGTTCCATTTAACGCGGAGGTTCATATTGGCCCCTCACTAGGGGAGTTCTCAAGGTAAAAGCGTTGTAGTAGCTGTATCTGCCCTCCCCCATCCTTTTTTTTTGTTTGTTTTGCTCCTGCTTTGCGTGCATGTATGTGTTATTTTTGTGTATGGATGGCTGGCCGTGGCACATACGTGCATACATAATTGCATAGAGGGGGCCATTAAGTCAAGGCGAAGGTGCATAGATCGTTCCTGGGGACTGCGACTATGTCAGTCTCTCTCTTTCTCTCTGTATGTGTGCGTGTGCGTGTGAGAGGCTCCTCGGGCCCTATACCCGTATGCATATGCACGCAGAGGTGGGGTTTGTGGGACGTGGCATGCGTTGTGTTGTCTCTTTTGTAGCGGCGACTTCTCCACACAAATAAGAAAAAAAAAGGGGGTGGGGGTTGGGTGGGCGGAGGGACACCAAGGGGGAACCAAAAGGAAGGATAAAAGCATAATAAGGGAAGTGAGACAAGGAGGAGGAGGAAGAAGAAGAAGAAGCAGGCCTGGTGGTCGCTGCATAGGAGACCCCCCTGTTTTCCATAGAAAGGGTGATGTGACGCAGTGGAGCACACATACTACACAGAGAGAGGGGCCACACGCATGAGCGAGCAAAAGAGAGCAGGAGAAAAAAAAAACATAAGGAGGAATTTATGTCTGTGTGGATGATTGTTTTTACTTGTTTTGATGGGGTGACGAAGGAGCAAACAACAGGCGAGTGAGAGACGGTGAGGGGTGCGTATGCGTGTGTTGTTTGCATTGAAATTCAGCTTCCAGTGGCACTCTGTCTGGTGTGGTTGGAGTGCACATATCCACACACGCACAAGCACAAGCACAAGCACGCCTCCCTGTTCATGCGCATGCCTGTTTCCTTGAGTATCCCTCTCTCTCCCTCTTTAGTTTCTGTGCCAGTCTGTATAGTCGAACCGTTGTAGTCCCTCAGTATTGTCCATTTGTATTTTGTACAAGCGCACGTGCACTACTAGCGGTAATCATATATATATATATAATATCAAGGCGAATGGAATTCGTGGAAGGCACGGAACAACTCGTGGCGAAAGCCTTCGCGTTGGGACTCACGATGCGGATGGAAGAGCATGGGGAAACAACGACGCATATCCCCCTCACGCTGCAGCCAGCAAGGATGCGCCGGGGCGAATTTGATGCGTTGTGCCGTCTTCAGCTGTTGTGGAACGAGGCTGTAAATAACACGGCGAGGAACTTTCCGTTTCTGTTGGAGGCGCTTCGTGAGACGGCGGTGAGTGACACGGAATTCACAGGGAAGCTTGTGGACATCCTACAAGAGGTGTACCTTGGCACCGCTCCCTACCAGTCCCTCATGCTTGGCGTGTTTCGCGCCGATTACATGCGAAGCAGTGCGGCGGCAGCGGTGGAGGAAGCCGACGCGGCGACAGCAGCCTGGAAGAATGTAGAGATTAACACCATCAGCTGCTCCTTTACCGGCCTCTCACCACTTGTCAGTGACTTTCACCAGCACCTCGCTGCCTACCAACGCGCACTGCGGGGCGGCACTGCTCGCAACGGTAACTTCGCCGGCGCAACACCTGACTTGGACGACGGCGGGACGTTGGAGCGGAGCACGACGGCGAAGATGGTGCCTGCCACGCTTGCGGCTGCAGTGGCAGCGTGGTCCCACCAGCAGGGCTTTGCTGCCCGCCGCGCAGCCTACGAAGAGGAGCAGCCGCAGCAGTGCCGGTGGATGGACCCGGTTGTGCTCGTCATTGTTCAGGAGAACGAGCGAAATGTGTGTGACCAGTTCGTGTTGATACTGGAGCTGCTCGAGTCGCACGGCATTATCTCCTTGCGGCGCACACTGCGAGAGCTGCATGAAAGTATGCGACTGCATCCCGTCCCCGACGGGCCACCGCTCGCTGTTGTCGACGGACGCTACCCGGTGGCCGTGGCCTACTTCCGCAGTACGTATGTGCTGACGGATTTTCCGACGGAGGCGATGTGGGCCACAAGGCTTGCGGTGGAGCGCAGTAGTGCCATCAAGTGTCCGAGCATCCCGTACCATCTGCTTACGTTTAAGAAGTTCCAGCAACTATTCTGTGACGTGGACAGGGTTCTCACACCGATTGCGTTTGTCGGTGACGCGGCGAAGGCGCATCAGCTGCAACGCCACTTTGTGCCACAGTACTCCCTTAACCCAGCGGAGGTGGGCGAGGCGGCGGTGCAACGCATCATAGCCGACGCCCTGCAGCATCCTGCGCGATATGTGCTGAAGCCCCAGCTGGAGGGCGGAGGGAATTTGTTCTTTGGCGAGGCCATGCAGGAGGTGCTGCGAACCACAGAAGGTGCGGACGCGGCGCTCTACAAGAAGGTCCGGCGGGAGTATATTTTGATGTCCCGCATTGACGTTCACGCACACTCCGGTGCCTTCCTCATCAACGGTAATGTTGTGCAGCTGGAGAACAACATCTCCTCCGAGCTTGGCTTCTACGGCGTGATTCTCTCCGATGCGAATGGGTGCCTGCTGCAGAACGCATGTGCCGGTTACTTGGTGCGTTCAAAGCCGGCGGACGCAGAGGACGGGGGTGTCATACGGGGAATTTCCGCCCTCGATTCACTGGCTCTTATGTGAACGAAAAGGAAGCATATCAGGTGGTCAATGGCCCCCTCTTTCCCCCGTGGTGATTGAGCGTGACGCAAAAATAAAAATAATAATAATAATATGATTCAACTCCATGCGTGTGACAGTGTTATTTTCTTCCTTCTCTTTTGTGCTCCCTCTGCAATCAACGGCGTGTGGGTGGAGTGTGCGACTGCGCTCGTCGGTGCTTCCCCCACACACACCTCCGTCCCGTGTCTCTACACTCTGCGCAAATATGCACGTGTGAGGTGAGTCATGCGGAGCTGTGTGTGTGTGTGTGTGTGTGTTCTCCGTCTTCCTTACGTGTGCGTCTCGTGAATTGCCGAGCAACCTGAGAACTTCTCTTGTTGTTGTTTTTTTCCCGTTTTATTTCGTTGTTTGAAGCTCGCACAGTAATCACATCATCCCTCTCCCCTCACTGCGCTCAGATGCACGCACGCACACATACGGGCCCCGAGCCCCGCTGCGTTCTCCAGCCACGACTGGGCAGTCAGCTGCAGATGGGCTCTTCTCATGAGTTGCTGCGGCGTTACCCCATTCGAAGATCCACTAAGCCACCACTAGCAAATGATGATTATCATCTCGATTCGACAGAACTTGTTAGCATATGCTGTACAAAATTACCGCAAAGAAGACTGACATTTCACCCCTTTCTTCCCTCTATTTCTCTCTCCATCCCTCCCTCTTATCGATGCTCCCACGTTTGCGCTTCATTCCCATTGGGTGCAAAACACGAAGGAGAACAAATCCTGGCAAGTGACGAACGTGGGGACGTGTGTGTTGCCCGTTCACCGAGGCAACGTTGTGGCAGTCACTTGTTGTATGTTTTGCTTTCGTATTTTCTTTTTTGTTTCTTTTTCACACCAGCAAGGCCAGATCATTGGAAGCCAGGAAGGAGGAGAACACTCAAGAGGAGAGAATGCCGCCGCGCTTTGCAAGGAGCAGTGCCACGCCGTTTACGGAGCGTGTCGCTAACCTGTTTCGGATCTATAAGCGGGATCTGTTCTTTTCGTGCGTGGCTGTCGTGGCCCTTGGGATTGTGTTTCGCCGGGAACTGATGGTTCATGGCGTGATTGGTGCCCCGAGATGCACAGCGGTAACGCCCAAAGTTGAAAGAGAATTTGGTAGAGGACGACGGCAGCGAGGCAGCGCCGAGGAGGGATGAGGCAGGTAGGGCTTAAAACAACAGACATGGAGGCAAACCAAGTGGGGAGGAGAGAGAAGCCTGGGGGATGCGCATATTCGGCTGTGGAGATTGCCTACACTGCGGTGTCGCATCACACGCCAGTGAGACTATCCGCCAACCCGCTAAATATATTTTTTTACGGCCCTGCGTCGGTTTAGTTGAGAATTTGTATTTGTTTCCCCTCCTGTTTTTGTTGTTCCCGCTTTTTTCTTTCTCTGTGCAGTTGTTCCTCCCTCCACCCATCTGCGTGTTTGTTGTTTTTTTTCTTTTTCTTCTCTCTCTCTCTCTCTCTCTCTCTGTGTGTGTGTTGGTGTTGTGTGACGTTTTTTGGGGTGGGAGGCTTCTCCAGCTTTCGGGAGTCGAGTGGGAGACGACACGCGTTTGTGTGTGTGTTTGTGTGTGGAATAGATTGTTTGTGTGGAGAAGAAGGGGGCGACTCTTTCATTTTGCGCCTGTCTTGTGGTACGTGAGCAGCGGGCGGCGGGGGGTTACGATACGGCATGTGCTTCCCCAACTTTCCCTGCAGCTTCACCGTGCGATGGCTATGCCACTGATACCGCTGCTGCTAATGATGATGACAACAAACCTCTCTTCTTTCTCTTCTTTCTCTTTTTCTTCCATGTATGTACTCGGCCACAGGGAGTGCATTTCTCTTTTTCGCTCTCGCTTGTACTGAAGGAACAGTGGCATCGGTAGACACCCTCACCGCGCGCTCCTCCGGTTCTCACCAGTAGTTCTCCCTCCCCCAAACTTGGCTCTCTTCGTTTGTGGTGTTGTTGTTTTTTCCCCCGCGACGGACGGCCTGACGAAGCGGGTGCGAGGGTGTGGAAAGGAACGCAAAGGAATTGGACGGAACACTACGAGGAAGCGTCGTTGGAAACAAGCAACCAAAAGGTTTTTTTTTTCTTCCTCAAGGCAATATACGCGCACGGAGGTGCATATAACCTCGTTCTTCCTCTCTCGCTGATTCTGCGCATACGCATTCATTTAGGAGAGGAGTGAAGGTGGGAGGGGGCAACAAACAAAAAGCAAGGAGAGAATCAAAGGACTGGCAAGGGAACGAGAAATCGTGAAAGTGTTCAACTAGGAGGCGAGGGAAGGAGGAGGAAGAAAAAGAAACAAAAAAAAGGCTTTTTTTTTCTTTCCACTTACCATCCCTCACTCACTCTTCCTCTCTCTCCCTGTGTGTGTGTGTGTGTGTGCTGTGGTAGTGGTGGAGGCGGAGGTAGTGGCGTTGAGCATACTATTGGGGAGGATTGACTGTGATGTACACGTCCATTAGAAAGCCACCACTCGCCCCCACCAAGGGAGATGTAAAAACCCCTGCGTTACGCAAAAAGGAAGTGGGGATGGAGGAGCACACGCTGCATGGTGTCATTCCTAGTGTTCCTAGGACTGTCCCACCGCGCAACTACACCCAACGTAACGGTGGCAATCCTTTAATGCTCAACTCGCAACGCGGTAACGCGCTGCCGTATCAAACTACCAATTCACTCTTTGCAGGGAGTGTCGCACAGGGAAAAACAGGTGAATTTGGCTCTCGCAACGGCAGTAGTGGCAATATCGCCCCTGAGCATGAAGATAGTGTCAATCCCACAAGTGGTGGGGTAATGCGTAGTGGAAACGGTCGTGGGCCTGCAGGGCGATGCATGCAGTCAAAGGCTAGTCTGAAGCGGAACTCTAGCGACAATGTCGCGTCCATCTTTGAGGGCTCGCTTCTCACAGGCGTAGATCGCTCAGGCAATGGCGCCATACGGAAAGTGTTTTCAGGACCACCGTCGTCACGCGTGCTGGCAGGTCAAGGAGGAGGGAGTGGAAACAGCGGCGATGGCACATCGTATCGGCCGCACCCACCAGGCAGCGGGGGTCCGAAATTGGGTGTACGCCCCATCCAATTTGCCCTGAATGCTAATGGGAATCCGAAGCTGTCACCGGTACCACCGCGTCCCCCAGTCATGTTTTCCTCACCCAAAACCACCTTGGACATTGGCCCTGATCCCTTGCGACAAAATAAAAGGCTTTCACGTGACGTCGTGGACCCATTTGCCACCACGCATGTCTTTAACGGTGTAGGTGCACAGCGGCTCTCCTCTGAGTCAGGTGAGGGAGGAACACGGTGGACCAGGGATGCAACGCCGTTTGCACTGGCGTCTGTGAAGCTGCAGCAACTAGCCTTACCACCTACAAAGACATCTCCGCGGATGGCGTCGGGGTCACCTGCCGCCCTTTCTCGTTACGATAGTCATAGTGATACTCTTATAAACGGTGGTAAATTACCCAGTAGTACCCTTGAAGACGGCACTAACAAAGGCAATATTCTTCAATACGACTTTCGCGTCGTGGCTAGTACAGGAAAGACTTTTAGCTCCCCCATCAAACTTACATTTGGTGTAGGTAGCCTTCAGGGACTTCGTCCAACGATGGAGGATGAACACTTTGTGCGGTTGAATGCAGCGGTGGCGGCGGGGCAGCCAGTGTCTTTGTTTGGAATTCTTGATGGTCACTGTGGTCGTCGGGTGGCTGATTTGGCGTCAAAGCAAGTACCGGATAATTTTATTGCTCACTCAGCCCTTGGTGAAAACAATGCATTAGCCTTTGTAGAATCCATTATACAGGCAGATAGAGCCATTTTCCATGCCATGGGCAAAGGCACGGGTGGTGGAGCTGGTGTTAGTTGTGGCAGTGGCGGTGGCTCCACGCTCATTGCTGCTGCCGTTCATGGGAGAATGCTGTACGTGGCTTGTTTAGGGGATGCTCGGGCGGTACTGTACGATGGTAACACAACCATCCCCATGAGTGAGGATCATAAGCCCTCCTCTAAAAGAGAGCATACACGTATTCTTCAGTGTGGCGGGTTTGTTCAGTTTGGTAGAGTGTGTGGTATACTTGCCGTGAGTCGTGCGTTAGGGGACTACGAATTTAAATTCAACGGCAATAGGTTCATTGCAAACAAGGAACTTATGGTATCAAATGTGGCGGATGTTCGACAGATCAATTTGACCGATTCCAGCAAGTTTCTGTTGCTGGCCTGTGATGGGCTGTGGGATGTAGTAGAAAACGAGGAAGCTACGCAATTCGTGCGAGACTTCTTAAGCTACACGCCAGATGTGGGTTCCTCGCCGGAGGCTACGAAGCGCGCGCTTAATAACTGTTGTCAAAAACTTGCAGAGTTTGCTGTGGATCGTGGCAGCACAGACAATGTCTCGGTGATGTTGTTCTTTTTCCATGACGTAGCAGAGGTTGTGGCAGGGTTTGACCGACCCGTGGGCGCGGTCGTTCCCTCCCATACCGGCCAAAGTGTGTCACCGCGCCTCAGCGCCCCAAGTCGCGGTCTCCCATTCAGCGGATCAACGTTGGACGGATGTTCACACATGACCAGTGGAGCGTCAGGGACTAGGAATGCATTATTCGGTTCAGTCTCCTCTTGGCACGGTCGCGGTCGCTCTATATGGTGATGGAGAAGGTTTTACATGGTTTTTTTCTTTTTTTTCTTTTGAAAAACGCTGAAGGAAAGGGCACATTGCGGCATGACAGCGTCCCCCTTTATTTGCCCTCTTTGCTTGTTTGCTTGCTTTTATGCGACTTACCTGCCGTGTTCACTGGGTATCGCCAGTATCACATATGCGCAGCTTACATATACATTGTACGCAGATGTACGTATGTAATGTGTATGACATGCGTGGTCACCTCCTTCTGCAGCACGAACTGTGCTTGAGAAGAGGAAAGAAATAGGAAGCCAAATACAACGAGAAATTGTTGTTTAGGTATAAGAGAGAGAGAGAGAAGGAAGAAGGAGAAAATACAAATAAAAAGAGGAGGTGAAGCGGTTGTAGGATAAAAGTGAGAAAGGAACGAGTAGCAAGGCACAGTATAAAGCGGCACCCCACGGCTCACACTTGCAATATGCGTGTGTGTGCAAATGGATTTATTTTTGTTGTTCTTGTTTTGGGTTGTCCTTTTACTTCCATCCCTTCCATCCCTCTCTCCCTCTTTGTATATCTGCGTGTCTGTGTGGTTTCATACTTTTTTTTTTTTTCCTTTTTTAGACGGTGTGTGAGTGTGAGGCTATGTAAATATTTACGTCTATACACATCAGCCCTACCTTTTACTTTTTACTGTTCTTAGTGACCGCAGACTTTTATCATGCACGCTGGGTGTGATATGATTATAAGCCAATATTCATGAAAAGAAGAGGGAGATGGACGACAGCCGCCAAAGAAGAAGATATATATATATATATTATATATATATATTCCACATGACAGTACATACGCATATTTGTGTGCATGTGTGTTGTCCTCTCTGTCCTGCGGCTCTCCCCCCCCCCCCCCCCTGGGTGGTTCATTCCTTGCCTGTCTTCATAGGGGTGAGGATGAAAGAGGGCGAGGGACAAAGGCAGGATGGTGAGAAAGGGATGGAAAGGAGAAGGAGAGGGTGTGTGTGTGGGTGGGGTTGGGGGGGCAATGGTGAGGAGACGGTTTTTTTTTTTTTGCCGGCCTTGTTCGTTTGTTTCTTCACTTGCGTTGTGTTTGTGCGGCTGGTTTACTTTCCTTCATTTAGTTACGTATTATTATTATTTTTTTTTTTTTCGTTCTTTATGTTCTCAACTATTTCCCCTCATTTTCCCCTTTTTCTCCTCATTCACCTTGATGTTGTAGTTTTTATTGTTGTTGTTGCTTGCTTGTTTATTTTGTGTGTGTGGGGAGGCGCCGCCGGTGGTGTTTGGCAGCCGCCCTTTTCCCCCTTCCCCTACGCACGCCTCTGCATACCTACTTTTTTTGGGTGCTCTCTTCTTGTCTCTGCACCGTCGCGGCGTCGATGAGTCGTTCATGTATATATTATGTGTGAGGGGGGAGATGTCACGCAGGCAGAGGCGAAGAGGGGTGTGAGGGTGTTGGTGGGCAACGAAGCAGCACGCCAGTAAAGGCGAAGAGGTGATGATGAGGAGCTCCTTTCCACCGATATGCAGATGTAAAGAGAGAAAAAGTAGAATGCAGCGTCCAACGCGGCCGCCGCAATGACAGAGAATGATACAGCGCACGAATTTAATGAATGGGGAAGTGACAAAGAGAAAACGGGAAAAAAAAAGACAAGAATGATTTGCTGTGGTCACGCAATTTGACGACCGTGCAACATGGTATTTCTACCTTTTGCCTTTTTTTTCTGTGTTTGTGGGTTTTCCTTACGTTTGAGAGGGCGGGTAGGGGGGGCACCGCTGGGAGTATTGACTCAGCTGCGCCTCTGCACGCCTCGTTGTGTTGGTTGGTGTGTGTCTGCCTTGCTGAGGCCGTAGATGCAAATGCTTGGACTGCTCCTCCAAGCCCCGTTCATGTATCCCTCCTTCCTCCGGCTGCGCGGGGAGGTGTATGCATGCCTCGTTCTCTGCAGTGCAGTGAGGCAGCAGAGGCAGGATAAGAAGGAGGAAAAAAGAGTAAAAATGAGCGAACGATTGAAAGCTTCAGTGTTGTTTTGGGTGGTGGAGGGGAGAACGTGGGAGCGAAGACGAGTGGCGTGAGAAAATGGGAGTTGGAAGTAGACAGAGAACAACAACAAAAAGATGCAGAGCCGGCCAGCATTGATGTAAGGTTATGCGCACCCATCTGACCGTATACACATATATATTTTGGTTGTGGGTCACTATCACACGCTTTTACCATTGAGCTCTTGCCACGTGAGCTTGATTGTTTAGGGCCCACGTCAATATTGTTTTCTCCAATTTGCCTTGTGTGTTTTGTGTGTGTGTTTTTTTTTTCATTTATATTTTTCCCTTCTTTTGGTTGTGATGTGTGTTGCATTCGTTGCTGTTGTTGTTATGCTTCCACCTCGGGCGGCAGTTCCGTGATTGGGTGGGGCACCAAGGCGAAAACGAGGGGAGGGGAGACTCTACGGAGTGCTTTTTTTGGCGGTGTGTGCGTGTGCTCGTTGAGTTTTTTTTTTTTTCTTTTTGTGTTGTTGTCGTCGTCCTGAATCTGTCATTTGTTTGTATGTTATTGTTGTCTTTCCCTGCTGTGGAGTTTTGCCGTACCTCTCAGATATTCTCCGCCCCCGTTGGGTGTGTGGACTGCTGCGCCCTCTACACTGTGGGGGCAGGGAGGGGGCTGCGCCAGTAGGATCGTCGGCTACTTGTAATATCTGCCCTCGCATACATACGTATCTATTTAATTTAATGCATATACATGTGTGCACGCGACCTCTGTTCTCTTTTGTGTATTTCTTCTTTGTGTGTCGTGTAGAGCCGAAGAAAAGCCTCAGGAGAAAAAAAAAAAAAGGAAAGCGCGAAGCAGGCATCCGCAGGAACGACACTGGAAGGGAGAGCAGTCCATCCAGCCGGCTGGTTCTGTTTTTCTCTTTGCTATTTGGGTGCCTAGCCGGCGTCATCACCGCCACCGTATATTTTCTTATCCTTTTTAGCACGTCGTCCGGGTATATATAAAGAGAGTGTGTTGCCTCGCCGGCTCTGTCTGTGACTGTGGTAGAGGGGGGCGAAGATGCTGTCGACGGAGGAGCTTGCGACGCTGACACTCAAGTCACCGTTTGTGTACGAGTACGGGGACGCACCGTACTTCAAGCGATGCCTCAACGAGTTTCCGCTGCATTTTTTCGTGCGGTACCGCGCGAGCAAAGATGACCCCTCGCAGCACCGCTGGTCTCGTCTGCTGGAGGTGGTGGACCGCCACCCCCCGCATGCCAACGCCGCCTCCACGTCAACCACCACGGCGACGACGCCGGTGGCTCCGCTGCGGTGGAGGGAGAAGTTTTTTTTAATTGCGTTGCGCGTGGAGGGGGAGGAGAAGTGTGTGGAGCTCCCGCGTCTCTCCAGCAAGCTGCCGACGGCGGAGGAGGTGATGGAGTACTGCGCACGGCGTGCGGAGTCGCAGCTACGGGAGGGGTACCGTCGTGAAAAGGAGGCGGACGTCGACGACGATGTAGCGGGGGTCACAGCGAGAGCGCAGCTGCCCACCGCGAAGGAAATTGTGGAAATGCAGAGCTTTCGACGGGCGCACATCGTCAACCATCGCTGGATGCCAGAGGAGGTGGAGGCGATGCGAGAGCAGAATGAACGCATGGGCCGTGTGGGTGCCTGCAGCGCCCCGATTAGGCTTACTGTGACGTCGCTGCATAACATGCGGCTAGAGACCGAGCTTGGCATCGCGTCCAGCCGGCATGTGACGGGACACACCGCCACCGCTATGGAGCGGCGCAGTTCACCGCAGTTGAGTTTTTGTGGCCGCACCAACTCCCCAGCCACACCTCAAAGCCAAACACAGTCGCAGGAATTTAGTGGCAGTGGAGCATCGCTTGCCGACCTCACTGCCGCACCGTTTTCTGGCACACCACTTGAATCCTCACCGCTGCTTTCGCAGGAGGTGCTGCAACGCTGGGAAGAGAGTAAGCGAGACGCCGAGAGCTTCTACGCCTACGTGAGTGACGACAATAGGAGTGCGTACTTGACAAAGATTGCACAGATTACGTTAAAGAATTACGAGCGGAACAAGCGTGATCGACTGCGTGGGATTGCCAATGAAAAACGTCTTGATCGCAAAGGTAATTTGTTGGAGTCTGGTGGGTTATGGATCGTTGACGACCAGGTGCGTGCCCAGCTGGCCCGCAGGTATCAGATTGAGCAGGATGGTGAAACGGTCACTGTTGGTGGCGGAGAGGCGGAGAAGAATGCGACGGAGGCATCTGCCAATGACACGGCAACGCGAGAGACGGCTCAACCACCGCTGACTGAGGAAGATAGGATGGTGCAGCGATTCATGGCTTGGCGCAAGAATGAAGAACTCTCCTTTGTGTCTGTGCCGGATGAGTTTATGTCGTTCGCCGACGAGAACGCCGTGGAGGATAACACTGTGGAGGCGCAGCGACCGCCTGCCTCCACGCGATCGCCAGAGCTGTTGCTGATGGACAGAAGCCCACGATTGGTGGCCTCCCAGCTGCTGCACAGGACTGCCAGCAGCATGCTGAAGCGGCCATCATCCTTTCACGTCTCCCTCGCCCACTCGCAGAACAGCTTTAAGGGTCAGGGGAGTGAGCCACCGAAGAAGGTTGCGCGTCGTGCGTAAACCATACAACGCGGTGGCTGGTGGGGGAAGGGAGGCAGAGGCGTAGAAATAAGCGAAGCAGCCGAGTGAGAAGAAGAGGGGAGGGTGGTGGGAGGGAGCTTGATGGTTTTTTATTTGTTCCTGCACTATCCCTGTTTCCGTGCTCTGCGTGTGCTTTGCCCTGCCAGTTGTTCGCTTTTTTTCCCCTCCCACTGATTTCTCCTCTCGTACTCTCTCTCTCCTTGGGTGGGTGCGGGAGTTGGACGTCGTTTGTGTTGCTACTGTGCGACACCGAAGGAGGAAGAAATTAAGTTTAAAAAAAAAAATACCACTGGATGGGGAGAAATGAGCCCGCATCGTATCGCCCCTCCTGAAGAGAAGAAAAAAAGAGACGAAACAAACAAACAAGGCAACACCATCATCAAGACAAACCCCTTCACGAAGCGTCCTTTTTTCTTTGTTTTTTCTTCTTCTTCGTAGGATCTGCCTGTGTGTGTGTTATGGCGGGGCTGCTCGTGGGGTGCTGACCTCCATGATGAGGTGGTTAACTCTGCGGCTTTTGCCTTCCCGCAGCCACCTTTTATTTCTCCCTTTCTGAATTTCTTTGAGAAATGGGACCGTGGGAAAGCGGTGCAGGAGGTTATATACGTATATATATATATATATATATATATAATATATGATATAAAGAGTGTTGTTTACTTGTGAATACGTGCGGCGACTTGTGTGACGCGTTCTATTCGCGCCTTCTCTCTCCT